GTGGGGGATGGGACTGGAGCGCCGGCTGAGCTCGCCGAATCCTTCCGCCGGCCCCACAGCTCTCCCTGTCCTGTCCCGCCTCCCGCTTGCCTCCGCTGGGGTGCGTCTGCCCGGGAGCCGAAAGATAGGTTTTTAGTTCCATTCTTCTACAGGTGGAGATCTGGTTTTGCCTGCACCATTTGCTGAACATGCTGTCATTCCTCCAGTGAATGTTCTTGGCCCCTTTGTCAATTATCAGGTGGCTGAAATTGCATGTACTCATATTTGGGTCTTCTATTTTGTTTCATTGATCTATGGGTCTAAGCCAACATCTTTCTAAATGGAGAAAAACTTGAAGCATTCCCATTAAAATCAGGAATGAGACAGGCTGTCCACTAGCTCAGCTCTTTTTTCAACATAGTGCTTGAAATCCTAGCTAGAACAATAAGACAAAATTTAAAAGATACTAATTGGAAAAGGTATAGTCAAATTATCCCTACTTGCAGATGATATGTGATATGATACATAAGAGATCCAAAATTTCCACCATAAAATTTCTAGAATAATCATCAACACTTTCATTAAAGTTGCAGGATACAAAATCAATTTACAAAAATCAGTAGCCTTTTCATATACCAATAACAAGCAGATAGAGAAAGAGATCATAACACTCCTATTCACAATAGCCTCAAAAATATAAGCCTAATCAAAGACATGAAAGATCTCTACAATGAAAACTTTAAATCTTTGAAGAAAGAGATTGAGGAAGACACTAGAAGATGGAAAAAACTCCCGTGCTCAAGGATTGGTAGAATTAATATTGTGAAAATGATCAACTTACCAAGAGCAATTACAGATAAAATGCAACCCAATCAAAATCCCCATGACATTCGTCACAGAAATGGAAAAAAAACCCCATAAAATTCATATGGAAGCACAAAAGATAGTCAAAATAATCCTGAGCAAAAAGAACAATGTTGGAGGGATTACTACATCAGATTTCAAACTATATTACTTGCTGTAATAAAAACAGCATGGTACTGGCACAAAAACAGCCATGCAGATTGATGTAACAAAACAGAAGACCCAAACATTAGTGCAAGCAGTTACAGACACCTGGTATTTGACAAAGATGCCAAAAATGCATACTGGTGTAAAGAACATCTTCAACAAATGGTACTGGATCTCCACATTTAGAAGAATGAAATTAGACTCATATCTATTACCCTGCACCAAAGTAAATTCCAAATGAATCAAAGACCTCAATGTGAAAATGCCAGTATTGCACCAATACAGATAATTTGCTGGGCATTTTCATCTTGGAAGTAATCAACAGCTATCTTATTGGACTTAAGGTCCTTTCAATGAGAGGGGATCCATGCATGGTACTGTTAGCAAGGTTGGAGAAGTCATAGACCCTAGATAGGAATCTACTACTGTCAATTCCTAGACCAACATAATTTCTTACTATATTCTAAATATGAATTCCTATATTCACGGACAAGTGTAGCTCTCACAACTCATCAAAATCTTTGCAGCAGATGGAGTCTATTACAAAGTTTCACAACTGGTAAAATGCAGATAATTAGTGCTTATGAGGTGCCCAACCCTAAGTGATATATCTACAATGCAACCTCTACACCCAAGGCTGAGGGAATATCGTGGAGGAAGGGATGGAAACAATGTAAGATCCAGAGGGACAAGACATCTGCTGCTAGTTAATACATACTAGACATGATAGGGAAGCTGCATCAATGAACTCTCCACAGTATTGTAGTCTAACAAGATGTGAATAGGGACAAAACCAGCTGACATGCCAAGGTGGATGAAGGAAATTTCATAGGGTCATACCTCAAGATGAGGAACTACAGGCAATCAATGGATGGATGTGGAGTGAGGGCGAATCAGTTTTCTCCAGGGACTAACTCTCTAAGAGGTTATCTAATTCCAGGTATACAGCTCTAAATACAGGTACACACAAGCACCACTAATGAACTCACTGTATTTTATGTGTGTGTGTATGTGTGTGTATTTATAAATCTATGTATATGTAACAATGATAATTACAAAATAGGGCAGAAAATTGTGAGAGAGGGGGATGCATGGAAGAAGCTGGAGGGATATTGGCAGGGGTGATCATAATGTAAATGCGATATTCGTATATGAAATTCTCAAAATAGAGATATTAATGAACTCTGTGTTTTTAACAGAATACCTAGTAGCATTATAGTTTTTAATCTATCAAAATAAACAAACCTAAGCATTAAAAAATAAATATTCAAATCTAGAATCCCCATATGAGAGAGAACAAATGGTATTTTTATCTATTTGCATTTAATAGGTTTATTATTGCAGTTTAATGTGTGTGTGTGTGTGTGTGTGTAGACAGGTCTCTCAATTAATAGTCCAGGCTGACTGTTAATTTGTGATCCTCCTGCATCAGGTTCCCTAGTGCTGAGATTACAGGTGTGTGTCATGTGTTGCCTCTGTGTGTTTTTATTTGATGTTTGTTTCTTTAATTGTCCCACAGGACATGTTTTTTTCTTCTCCTTCTTTCTTCTTTCCAACAATTATTGACTTATTAATTACACAGTCTCTTTCTTGAGGGTGGGGGTTTAAGCAGGGTCTACTCTGTAGCTCAGGCTGGCCTCAAACTCACTATATAGCTGGCTTCAAACTCACTCATGACCACGCTCCTAAGTCAGCTTCTGAATGCTGGCATTACAAGTTTTTGTGACAGTGCCTGGTTTAACTGTACATGTTTATTTGTTTAGTGTTTCCTTGGATAGTAAAATTTGTGTCTTTGAGTAATAATATATTAGTATATAAATGAATACGTTTACCACTTTATGAGATAGGTAAGTATGATGGCTAATCATAGGTGTCAACTGGATCTGGGATTAACTGAAATGAGAGAGATCTTCTTGATTGAATCATCTGAAGCTGGAAGACACACCCTAAATGTGGGTGTTATCTTCTGATGGCAGAGGAGAATGCCTGGCTTCTTGCCTTCTCTGTCACTGGTGAGTTCGTCTTGCTGCTGTAGACTGAAGACTAGCTGATCTTTTGGAATTCATCAGACTGTCAGCGCCAGATTGGGACTACTGAGACATCCATCCTCGTGGACTGAGTGACTAAGAATTCTCAACCTCTCCAGTGTGGTGTAGCCATTGTTGGACTACTCGGACTCTATCCTGTGATCTAAGCTGATAAATCTCTATACATATATATTCATTCTACCATGTTTCTTTAGAGAACCCTGACTAATACAGATTGTGGTATCAGGAATGGTTCTAGAGAAACAGAATTGAAAGGATGAATTTCTTTAATGGGCTTGTTAGTATTTGGAGCAGGTGCTCCAACTCAGAGTCTTCAGATAGCATGGAGAACACTGAAAATCCATGGTGTAGACTATTTGAAACAATTATGGAGATAGACCCATTTGAATCTCCTAACTCACCTCTTGTGAAGAGCAAGCCAGTAAGCAGCATTCCTCCATAGCCTGTACTCCAGCTCCTGCTTCCAGGTTCCTGCCCTGACTTCTAACCTTGGGCTCCCTGATGAACTGCAACCTGGGAGTTGTAAGCTGAATAAACCCTTTCCTCCCCAAGTTGGTAGTGGTCAGAGTATTTTGTCACAGCAATGAAAGAACAAACTAGAACAAAAATTGGACCCGTGAATCCTGGCTTCAGCAGAAGATGAGTTCAGTAATCAAGTAGATTGGATGACCCATTTTGTGGACTGTCAGCCTCTTTCTTCAGCTATCCCTGTCATTGCTCAATGGGCCCATGAACAAAGTGGCCATGGTGGCAGAGATGAGGTTATGCAGAAAAAATGGAATCCTGACATGTGGGATGGAGATGTGTGGGAGAACCCTGAGGAGGCTGAGGGTTTTGAATCCTCAGACTCTGAGGAATTTGATTCACCTGATGAATTAATCTCCCTACCCTTAGCAGTCTCGGTACCAATCTCTGTCCTAGTTTGTTCATTGCTATGACAGACCTGACTGGAGATTCTAGGTTTAATATGGAAGCTCATGCAGTTAAAAAAGGGGTGCTAAAAGTTTATTTGATTGGTTGGCTGAGGTACTTATCAAAAGATGCCCTACTGACAGAGAGCTGTAGATACCTGATATCACTTGGCTTAGTGTTGATGAAGGGATTGTAAGGCTCAGGCAAATTGGTATGCTTGAGTGGTTTGCAGCACAACAACAAATCCTCCACAATGGGAGGGCCCAGAGGACATGCCTTTTACTGATTTTATGAGATGGAAAGTACTGAGAGAGACACCAGAACGTTTGAAGAGCTTTGTTTTTGCTCTTTTCCTTATGCTGAATCTTGCAGTTGGAGATGCTGCTGCTAAATTCCGTAAATTAAATGCAAATATAATAGGTGTAACAGGACCTTGGAGTAGGGTCAGGTGGCATTATTGGAATTACCAAAGACAAGGATTTGAAAGATGCAGGGGTGGTGATTCTAACCACATCTCCCTTTAGCTCTCCTATTTGGCCTGTGCAGAAGACAGATGGGTCATGGAGAATGACAGTTAACTATTGAAAACTGAATCAAGTAGTGACTCCAATTGCAGCTGCTGTACCAGATATGTTTTCCTTACTCGAGCAGATTAATATGTCTCCTGGTACCTGGTATGCAGCTA